TACGCATGATTAAATATTCATCACATTTAATCCGCCCATCAGCAATTTATAACATATTTAATGGAAGTTTTATTATTAAGAAAATTTAATATTTTATTGAATATTAAATATTTATTAAATTTGTATTGTCGTCATACTTATTTGCATAAAGCAAAGAACACATGTACACAGATCTGCAGAAAAAAGAGAAGAACGTTTTTTATTTTATACACCATGCTGAGCGAATATTATGGCTGTGGCAGCACTTTAACGGTATTCTCGAAATTGTTATGCAAATAATTCGATCGCCTAATGCCTGTCTATCTGTTCCCTTGTCTTTGCACCTGTACTAATATGATTTGATTTATAGGAATTTCGAATTTTTTACCTTATGTGTTTTAAATATTTTATATTGCTGTCATAACACATGTCAAGAATGATTGTATTCACTCCAAAAATAGATTTCAGCTTAAAAACATTTTGCATGCATATTTTATTTTAATAAAAACTGTAAAAAACGAAAAAATAACGAGGCGGACGTATATAACGCAAAATAAATAAAAAAAATTTAATCAAACAATCACTAAAATAAATAAATCCAACCCTCCTTTCCGAAGACCCAAACGAAGGACTTTGTGATTTGCTGAATAACAGAAGAAGAAGAAGAAGCAGGTTTCAGCGCAATAACATACCCACAAGATTCAATTCTGATATAAAAATGTTACTACTTTTCTTGTTTAACTCGAGTGAACGCCCAAAAGGCCATAATGCGGTTAAAACTAATAGTAAAGCGTAACATCCTTGACGGTTAAGGCGATTAGGTGAGTACAGGAAAATTATCGCTACAAGAGAACAATTCTACAAGTAATTGATCGATTTGCACCGACTATTAAATGCAACATTGTGCAGTAACTTCTCAGCCTGATAACGCCGGAATTTATATTGAAATAACGCTTCATACAATCAACTAGACTGTGCCATCAACTCTCTTGTATTCATTAAACATTGCCTGTCCTTGTCCAACTGCTGACTTATTGCTTATCTTAACAACGCTGGCATTCCTTAAAATGTCATTTTAAATCAAAGATATTTTCCGAACAATAATTTTTGATATGAAAAGTTAATCTAATAAAAAATTAAAAAAGAATTTCTAAAGTATCCCTTAGCAAGCAAACAACGTTAGTGCAAAGTGCAAAAAATACATATAGCCCATGAAATTTGAAAGGTCAGCCTTTTTTTTGAACATGCTATGTATTTATATGCTTATGTTTTTATTTTCGACTGCGGCTGTCAACCATAACCTTTATTTAAGAAATAAACACATGAAGTTGTATTGAAACCAAAATCATTTATATTTTTATAAGAAATAAACGACGAGTGTCGTTATATACAACGAATTCAACAACTGCACATCACTTTTAATTGCTTCTCTACAGCAGAGACGTATAAAGAGAGGACTCTCCCGGCAGATTGAATGGAATTTCGAAACAATTTTGTTAAATATATCGGCCTCGAAATTTCATCTAAAAATGGTATCAAATGAAACGTGAATGAACAAGCATGCAATTAATACAATGAAGCCATCTTTATAACCTTCTGCAAAAGGCTTATTAAGGCATGTTAGGTGTTTTCACAACTCATACAAGGCTTAAAGTACGGCATGAGTAGTGGAGCCGAGATTTAATCTTGGAAATAAGACGTAATCTTTTAAATTTACCTTCGTATTAGGCGTAAAAGACCACTGAATAGAACTAACAGTTCCCAAGAAGTACTAAGAAGGATATTTATAAATAATAACAACTAAGAGTCTCGCAATGAAAGTGCAGCCAAATTTTGTAAAAAAAATGTCGAAATGCTATTCAGATTCTTTCAGTTTAATACTTCAAATATTTCATATCATAAAGGTTTTCATAATGCGAGAATTAAGAAGGAATGGAATGTAATATAAAGGAATAGAGAAGGACTCACATAATACAAGTATTCCCTTCACTAAGTTATCCGGCATTCAAATATTTTATGCATTATTTTCTATCAGTTTAATTAGCACATAATACTCGCTATCAAAAGAAGAACAAAAATTTTTTTTAAGATGGATAGAGTTCCCCTGCTGTTGCATGCAAACTATTTTTTTTTTTTTTGATATATTTTCAAACGATGATAAAGTAGAAAGAACAGTCGACACCCTAACAATGCGTGAATAATTATTTTCATAACAACTAAAATACTAATTTTTTGGACGAATGCGACAACTAGATCAATGTCAGATTAATAGAATGAACAGAATTGTACACTCAATTGGACATTGTAATATAATAACTGCGAAGGCATATAAGAGAGATAACACCGACATATATTCATGCGTAGGCATATTTTTCAGTTCAAGGAACATTAATAAAATTGATTAAATCCGTCACAGTTGAACTGCAAATATATATTCTCTTTTATTTATTTATTCGCGTTCGCAGTTTATACGTAGTAACGGTGAGAATAAATGCATTAACAATATGCACACATGCACAAGTAACAACAACGGTAATAAATTCGAAACCAAAAAATTGTTTGAAAACAAAATTTTTTTCTTTTGATGGCGATAAGATAGATGTGACAAACTTATATATTATGCCGACACTCTGACGTAGTGTTGGAGAACTACGCTTACCGTTGTATCTTTTTCACAGGGTCCAGCTTCATATGCTTTTTTTTCCAAAATTTCTAACAAATCGTGCAAATCCTTTTTCGTCTTTATTTGGATATATATGCCGTGCCGTGCGTTAGGTTGTACGATTTATGCTGTAGAGTATATTGAATTCGTGCGGATCAATGTGTCACTTCGCAAAAACCTCAGATAGGCTGATAGTATGTTTCAACATCATTTACTAATAAATGTGAGCATGTCTCTCTGTTTGATGTCCGTCCATGACATCTTATGTTTAACTTATAAATCGCAATCCTAGAGATATTTTAAGAAGATTTGACATAATGACATATTTTGCCCCAGAGACAAGAAGATTATTGAAAAAGGGGCAAGATCGAACCTTTACGTACTGCTCCATGATCACTCTTTATGCACTGCTCTATTTGAAAAAAAATGTTTGTATGGCGCGAAAACTTGCAATTTTTAATATTCCTCGACAGAAGTGAATAGAAAATTTCGCACACAAAATAGATGCAGAAAATTGCCTTAGAAGGAGCCACTTTGGAAACCCTCACACGTAAGCACATTTGTACAAAAATGGTTATAAGGATGTGTAATTTATACAGACGTCTCTCGACGTCTCTTCCCGCACTCCTTTCGTACGCACGCGGTTGACACACCTTGAGAGATTAATCGCAATTAAAAAAAAAAGGCCGAGGTTGTGACATTTCATTACGAAAATGGGTTCGAAAAGGAGTTTTGCCCAATAAATTTGTTCTCTTCCTTAAACTAAATAGGTCCATTTGACGGCACCGTCCCATATAAAGGCGTTTCAAAAATTAGTGTTTGCAAGATAACAAAGTCCAGTTCCTTGCATATAAAAATTAACTTTAAGAAATTTGGACCCAGTCCATGTAGGTTTTTGGATTATTTCCCTATATAAAAGTTGTCACGAAAGCGAAGCATTTACGTGGTACAGTTGTACGATTTTTAACATTTTTCTAACTAAAGATTTGAATTAAGCGATTGATTGCCAGTTTTATGCTAAAATACGAATTAATTAATTTTTGTAGTAAGTGAAGTCGCAAAAAATATCTATTAACTGTGGAGACGCGATGAGAATTTCGAATGACTTACCTTTTTATTTTTTCATTCTTTTTTAAGAAAGTGAGATAAAAGGTTTAGTTTTGGTCCAGTATTTGTTTTGATTTTCGTTTCACAGTTCGGTTTTGCTTTTAAACTTTGATGAATAAATTGACTTTACAAGAATAAAATTTTACGAGAATAAAGATTCTCTGTAATAAATGCCACATTTAATTTTTGCTAAGTGTACACACAGGATACTATTAGTAGCGTACATTAAGAGAGCAAAAAAAAAAAAACAAATATTTCTTGTTTATTTTTTGATTTCTATTTGTTTATAATTTTGGGTAAACTATCAATTCCTGTTCACTTTGTTCGCCTTATAATTATATGCTTAGTATTTACATATTTACAAACGCATTAACATAACTAAGAAATGTCAAGCACTAGGAGAATATGTGCGGCATGCACAATATCCCTGTAGGCTCGTACGGTGATGCTGTTAATGAAAGATACATATGTATATAGACATGTAGATGCATTTATGTTTTATTCTCTTAGTCTCGTTGCAACTTTCAATTAATTTTTTTAGATAGTGTTCACACAATTTACTAAACACGTGTTTATCTGTACTTAAATATATGTATATTTATATGCGTATATATATATATATATATATATATATATATACGTGTATATACGTATATATGTGTATGCATGTGTGTGTGTGTGTATTCGCATTCAGGTGCGAGCGTGTTTATGAGTGAGGTTTGCTTTTTGTTTGTTTTGTATACATATATATATATATATATGTATGTTTTCGATTTATTGAAACACACGCACATCGATACACACTCACTCACATTCGCACACACACACACACACACACACACACACACACTTTCAATGAAATACTTTTCACTAGTTATTCAGTCACGTACACTGCCGTCAAATTCATCTATTCACGTTTCGTTTTAATGATGAACTGCTCTTTGAAACAGTAAAATGTCAATTTTTATCAGCTGACTTTATTGTAAAATTGTTTTCTATGTAACGCGCATATGCAAACTTGTGTAGAGTTTGAAGATGTGCAAATTTTCATCGTCAACGAAAAAAAAGAGAAAGCTCAAGGATGACATATTCGAAATCTCCACCGGAAATTGTTTTACTCTTCTCTCAAACTCTTCTAGCACCAACTAAAAACTAAGAGAAATTATCTAAAAATCTTCAAAGAGTAATTCACTCTTTTTTTTTTACATAAGATGAACACTTGTATCTGTTGATTATTAAGAGATTCTTGAAAGTGTATATAGATGAGACCGTAGATTATCAAAAAAAAAAAAAAAAAAAAAAAAAAACAAAGCAGAGCATCTTTTCAAATTTACGAGTATAAAGGGAAGAAGAGAAGAAAGGAAAAAAAAAAATGACAACCGAAAAAAAACTAATGACATTCGGTGACGTGAAGGTGAGTTTATATGAATTTTCCTTAACACACTCAGTCCTTATTAAGCATAAGATTATTATTCTGAAATAATAAATGTAAAGGTTACGACACTTCAACATGGTAATGATGCTGGTGATGGCGATGAGGAAATGATTATGATGTCAATGATTATGACAATAATGCCATTGTTGAAGATAGCAAAGATGAGCACTAAAGTGTAGTTTGAATAAGGTTTTGCGTTTAAATTTAACGTAATAGAATTATTAACACACTAAATGAAATAAATTCTAAAGGATTTTTGCTTTCATTCTCTCATGGCAATAATGGTGCAAAGGATTTCGCTTATTTCGTGTTAAATTAGAAAGATTTAAAGGAAAGAAATTCATTTCAAGATTGTTACGATTTTCTTTGAACACCATTACGGTTTTTTTTTTTCGAAAGCAGTAAAGGTCCCATTGTTTTTTTTTTTTTATTTATCTTTCTTTTGTTTAGAAAGAGAAAAAATATGTAAAACTTTCGTAAATACATAAAATAATTTCTTTGTATTATAAAACTTATGAAAACTTAATGTAGGGAAATGACGGAAAAAGAGAAGAGGGAGCATATAATGTATTTTTTTTCGAGGAATAGAGGCGAGAGCGTGTGCAAAAATGCGGACGCAGTGTGAAAAGTTCAAACACACAAGTTGAGTCCCTTTGTCCCAATTTGTAAATATTGTTTCCTTCTTTCTTTCTTCTATGATAGAGGTCAGCAACCATCAAAGAAGAATTTATCTTTGAAGGGAGCGCAAAGGAAGAAAAGGACAATAAAGACTCTTTTCATATGAAAGCATTTTATACTAATTCGAAATCAGGTATCGGGGAGTTTATTTTCCACTTTCGGAAAACTCTTAATAACATTTGACCCCAAAAAATTTGCTATTTCCTCTACTTCTACTTCAATGAGCCTGTTGGACATTAAGGTCTGTTTTGCTATCGCCATTTCGCGCGATTTAATGCTGTTTACAATATTGTTTGGGAAATGCGGCGCGATAGCGGTACACGAGATGACTTCTGGTCTTTTGCCGTAAACATAAAAATGTCTTTGTTCAAAATTATTAATTTGTTTTTCGGCATGTGGCGACCATGATACAAGCGACGAGGATATGTTATCTACTTATAAGCATGAGTAACGAGTAGATAAACATCGCAACTACTAAGTCAGTGTTCGTGTGTTCAAACCCCAAGTGCGGAGGAGCTTACTCCGGCTATAGCTATAGTGAGTGCTCAGTCCGTAAAGGCATTTTACTTATATTAGGCATAACGATTAGATACACATCCACAAGGCTGTTCCCGTCAACAGTCTATATATTTCTTTTCTTCTTTCTTTCTGACCGTTACTGCAAGTCACGAATAGAGGACCATTGTTGGCCATGCTAAAAGCAAAATAAAAAATGCAACTCGTAGTGGAAACTGATAATAATGAACAGAACCGACATTTTTTGGTACTGCTTATGCGTTCCGTCAGATATCAGACAGACTAGCCAATCCCTTCCCAAATTCCGCATTAGGCGAAGTTTCGATGTTCGACATCTCCAATTAATTGGTAAATGCTTTGCTCCTTAAGAGCAGGTTGGTCCGTTATTACTTTATACGTACTTTTTAATGGCTTTGGGGATCATTTATTATCAAGCTTTATTTCAGTGTGTGTTATAAGTTCTCAATCTAACCTTTTTGTCTTCAGTTTCAAACGTGATTTGTATCCTTTAACTAAAAATATATAACAGCATGTTAATTCCATTTTCCCGTCCCAACTCTTGCAATCATAACCGTAGTTCAAGGCCGCAGGAAGCGAGGCAAGCGAAGAAGACGGATTTAAAAAGTTAAGAGCATATAAGTTGAAGAGCTGAACTTACAATCTTATGCCGATGCAATGTGTAGGTCAAAAAAATGCTCTTGCCTTAGGTTAGTAGGAAGCGTATTAAAAATTTTCACACTTGTTTGGTATTTTCCGACTGCAAATGAAAGCTTCGTTTTTCGGATTTTGAGAATAGCTTCCTTTTGGAAGAGGCATTAAAATCTTCTTTTTTTAAGAGTAAAATTTCTCCGCAAAATCTATCTGTAAAACTTATGCCTATCCCCGATAACTGGTGATATATTCGTCTAGTCAAAAATTTCGCAAGACCCATAGGAAGATTCATAAAATTATAATTCGTTTAATCCGTGATAACTTTTAAATTGATCTATGTATGCCGGTCTGTCCGTGCGTCTCACAGTCACCACGATTAAGGTGTCAGTTTCAAATGCAACGGGTATTTTTGAGCGCAAGCTGGTATAATAAATGAGATAAACCTGTCAACGCGCGTATAGTATGACATAAACTGAGAGCGGTTCTGTTTTCGAAAAACAAACAATTGGAACTTTTGCTTATTAGCAGTAAAGTACAGCAGATACAACGATGAAAATGTTTCTCTAGATGCCGTAGGTGATCTTGAATAATGCGTACGCAGAAGGCTGAAATTTTCCATATTTACTTCGCGAAACACTCTATTCTTTACGTGCAAAAATGGAAAAAATCGGCCATGCCCACAGAAACTTACAATTGATTGAGTTTTACTTTTTTCACTCTTTATTAAGCGATTAATATTTTCTTAATCATACCAGGGATATGGGTATCAAATGAAAAAACTTGGAGATTAGAATGCGAAAAACATAGCGGTTGGTATTCATTCATTTATTTATTTATTTATTTCTTTTGTAAACAAAATTGAGTTTAAGGCGTTTTCGCAAATGCCCACGGGAGCAAAATTTTACAAAACAGAAAATCGCATTTGCTAGTATGTGTTGTGCACATACGGGTGCTGTTATCCGTCTTTCTGTGGTTACAAATGGAAAAATAAAGTCTAAAGAAATTTATTTAGTGAATATGTTTATTATTTATTCATTTAATTCGCTCTTAAGTTCTGTGAAATTTATGATTTTTATTATTATTCTATACTTTTCTAAAAGATATTACTTCTGATTGCGGTGATTTCATTTGAAACCATCAATTTCGGTTCAGTCATAAGTCAAGGCAAATAGAATGGAAAATGTATCATTTGCTATTGCCTGCATTTCGCTTTACTTGTTTCATTCGCATTATCTTTCGCTTCGTAAATCCAATTTCGAATTAGAATTTCAAGCTCCAACATCGAGAATTAGATGTGATCATCATCAACACTGACCGCGATAGCTAACAAAGCATGCAATTCCTGTAGACTTTGTTTTATCGCAAAGTACGGTTTTTTTGATGACATTAGTTGCTAATATTGAATAGCTTCCAAGAAATCCAGAAGAGTTGCCTTTTTATACCCATCACTGGAGGATGAGGACACATTGATTTTATCAAAATATTTGCAACGCTAAGAACGAGTGTTCGTGCACTCATGGCACTTCATCGTATATACATATTCTTGGTTAGCATCAGATTTTAAATCGATATGTCTGGCTATCTCCGGACTGTCTGCGATAAGTATTTTTGTGGTGGCAAAAATGAAGCTATCGGCTTCAAATTGGGCAGTCAAATTGGCATCTTTTGCATGCAGATTGATATGGACACTTGTCCAAATCAATTAAAGGATTTCTCACAGTACGACATAACCTTAGAGCATCTCTAGTTTGAAAAATAAGACAACATTTTTTTGTTACTAATAAACCATATCAAATAGAACGGCAAAAATTTGTATTCATATCCTTTGAAAAAAATTGGTCACGCCTACTTAATGTTAGAGAATATTGAAATTTAATTTTTTGTCAAAATGTTTGCAGTATCCAGAAAGACGTTTTAGAGAAAGCGGATACGCTTTCCAATCCGTCTACCCGTGGGGCAGTTACTTTCTTTGATAAACGTACTCCTGATTACAAAAATTAAAACAATTTGGTAAAACAATTCGGAAGCCGCCGCACGCACTTTGATATTGAAATTGGGTCAAATGGGTAAAAAAAAGCACCCAAAGTATAATATAAAAATGGATAACATCTTGGTTTTCCGTTGTTTAGTCCATTACGTGTAAACTACAACAGACACATGACAAAAATTTCCTCGTATATCTTACAAGGATCGCCAACATCAGTCACGCGCATGTAGAAGGAAGAAAATTTAGCTTTTTCGCTTTAGTCTCTTGCAAGATAGGTACAGTCGCAGCTGCATATAATTTTCTTACTTGTTATTATCGTAGAAAATTGAAATTAAACGTGAATGAACACTGAGATCATATTTTAGGTTGAATAGTGTTATAATGTTATTGTATTTACTTGCTTATCCTAGTTCATGCTTTTTTAAAATTTTCCTTCCCCAGTTTCAACTGCTGATCTACCTCGACAAAATCACATTCTCTAAATCGTTCAATCGCCCAGTGTGTTAATAGAAACATTATAGTTTTCAAATTGAATTTGGAAATGTTTTATTTAAGCACCACGTAGTTTAACCTTCTACCTCCAACACATAATTAGCGCTGCTGCCCTAATGATGCTTAATTGGCCGTGTAGCTCGAATTTGAAATGCGTTACTTTG